GTTTTTGAATCATCATGCTTTTAAGTCGCACATTGTTTAATATAGTGATAATAGACATATACTAATTAAGGGGCTGTTTGGTTGGTTTCCCTAAATATAGGAGATCTATTTCCAAGCATAGATATTGATTTCCATGTTTTATTAAAGGTTTCTTGAAGTTTGTTTGGTTCATCATAAAAGAGGGGTGGAAATAGATGTCCTCAAACATCCATTGTTTGTTTCACAAAAAAAAAAAGAAAGAAACCAAGAATAGGAAATATCACTTCTCAATTTCTCTAGTTTGGATAGAAAAAGTGCACAATGATAAAAAGTAGTTGTGCTCACTATGGTGAGGTTACCACCAAAGAGACATGCACATAATAAAATTTAGTATTCATTTCAACAACCAAATTCTAACTATTCCCCATCAAAACTTCAAAACAATAATGACATGCACATAATATATCAACCCACATCACAGTTCAAGATATTTTTTTTTACTTGAACATCCTATTACAACATAGATAATTCAGTCTAAACAAAATTGTCAAAAGAATTTGTATATCAACGCTATGTTAATCACCATAATACTGAACCAAGAGATTCTACATCACAACAAAAGGAACCCAATAATAAGATCATAATAACCATTATCAATTGTATTGAAGAACAAATATATTTGCGCGCCTTGAGCATTTCTGTTAGCACATCTCCTATACCTCGAGCATTTTGCATTTCCTCCAAAGCTAGACAAAAATAACAAGGTAATATTAGAATATGATATATCAAACTAAATATGAATAAGCACCTAAGAGCAAAAGCATCAATCTGATAATAAAAAAACACGTCCTCGAGCATTTCTATTTTTTTCACTTGAATCTGATATTTGCATCGAACAAGAAATGTTAGCACATCTCCTATGTCTCGAGCATTTTGCATTTCCTCCAAGCAACCCCTGTATATCACTGCATATACACTACATACCATACAATATCATTAGTAGAAGAACATATTACAGTCACATGTATGCTTAATCAGAAACATTCCCATTTGCAAACATGAAACGAGTTATGATAGTGCATGTGCTCAAACCTCCTTTTTTTTAATTAATTTTTCAATAGTTGGACCACTACGTATTCTTCTACGTCTAGCTTGCATCCTACGCATGAATGTAACTAAGATCAATATGATAGATAGTGTAGCCCCGGAGACAATGCTCATTATCATGTCTTCATCAACACAATCACCATCCATCTACAATACCCACATTAAATCAATTAAGAGTTTGAATGAATAATAAAGTAGTTATCATATGACAAGAGTAAAAAATCACACAACCACCCACAAAACACATACATAAGTTTATCAAAACGAAAAAAAGTCCTTATTATACTATATATATTTAATATATATATATAATATATATATATATTATATATATATATATATTATAATATAATATATATATATACTATATATATACAATCGTATATATTAATATATAATATAATAATATATATAATTATATATATTATATATATATTATATATATATATTATATATATATACTATTATATATATATATATATATATATATATAGTATACATATATATATATATATATATGTATACTATACATATATATATGTATATTATAACGAGTATATATATGTATATATACATATATATAGTGTAATATACCATAAACCATCAACACCTTGAAGATGCGAGCCTCACCAACTTCAAGGTGTGATGTATGGACAAAGATGTGTTCCACCATCACTACCAAGGATCCTTGGCGCGCCAGTATACCCATATTCCTATTATATATATATAATAATGTATTTATAATATATGTGTATAAATATATATATATATATATATATAGTATATATATATATATATATATATATATATATTATATATATATATATATATATATATATATATATATATAGTATATAAATATATATATATATATATATATATATATGAGAAAAATGGTATACGCTTGGTACCAAGTACAAATTTTGTGCTGGTAGTGAGGTGTCTCATTCCCATCCATCTCATTCAATTGGGGGGACCTACATTCAACTCATGTAAAATTGGTCGCGCCACTATTTGAATGAGTGAGGATAATATGCCATCGTCAACATACCAAGCACAAATTTTATGCTTGGTAGCGAAGCATACCCATATTCCTCTATATATATATATATTATATATATATATAGATAGATATATATATATATATATTTATATATAGTTTAGCTTGCATATACATGCTTATGAATACATATATATGTATACACAATCATATGCATATGTATATAGACATGTATATTAACACCATAATGTATTAACTAAGACTAATCGCAATACAATCTGCTTGGTTTTAAATATCAAGGTCAAACACATTTTTTTCCTGAGAGATGTGTTTTGAACAACATGAATAACTGCTAATGGTGGGTTGCCACATAAATTACAGTCATAAAAATTCTATACATTAAAGTATATACACAAAATTTGAAGAGAACTTAAATTCTACACACAAATGACTATAAAAAAAATTTCTATACACAAATAACATGACAACACAAATAATATGACCACAGTTTAAAATCTCAATAACTAGTCATTATTAGCAACAATTTACATAAGGAATTTCACACATCCTTGAGAAAGTAAAATTGCTCAATTCTAATACATCTAAAAGCAATAATTTTCACATGAATTGCATAATAATTAAAATTTAGCAAACAAAATAATGCATGATCAAGTCAGTTGGTCCACTCTTTGAATTTAAAACTGAAAAAGTTTTTCATTGCAAACAACTATTGTGGTTATTAAAAAGAAGTGGCCTTTGCATGTGAATGTAAAAACTTACTATTAAAAAAAAAGGAAAGAAAAAGGAAAAACAAAATTATTAGGAAAATTACCTTCAAAGATTTTTCAAAGAAGCTCGGTGAGGTTCTCCAGATGGATTAGCCCCAAAGCAGTTAGATCTTAGAGGGATTAAGCCATCAACGCAGCAAAGCAACGAATCCACCTCTAAAATAACCCAAATAGAAGACCGCTTAACCAATAACCCAAATTTGAAGATGTTTTACCGATGAAATAACCAACAATTAGCCCTAACAAAGCTTGGATTTCTATTGAAGTAGCAAGAGAAGATTGACAGTGGAAGAGGGATCGATTTCAGGTAGGATCGACGGAGGTTTCACTTCTCAATATTTTCCATAATTTTTTTTGGCCGGAGAGAGGCGGTGGAAGGATTGAAGAAGAGAGACGGAAAAAGAAAATGAAGAAGGAAGAGGAAAGGAGAAAGAGATAAGAAGGCGGTGATAATATCAATGTGGTTTTTTTCCCGTTGTTTTCTTTCCGTTCCCGCGGTCTAGCTGGCGCTGATATATATAATTTAATTCATCTCCGTCCCATTTCCGAGCTAAAACTTCGGAAATGGGGGTTTCTGTTTTTCTGAGCTGGCGGGTGATTTCGATCAACGTTTTCTTTAAATTTGAGTTTGAACCAAACTGCAGATTAGAAAAAAAAAAACTTACATTTCTTATTGTCAATCTGTCAGAGCTGAAAACCTATTTCAACCTCTTATTTTTGCCAACCAAACAGCCCCTAATGCTATTGGTTGAGATTGAAACCCCTCTTAAAATGAATCTGAAATCTCATATCGAGGTGTTAAAGTGGGTGCATTGGTTGACAAGGACTCGGTTCTTTGTCTTTTGCCCGATGCCATTTTTCTATGTATTCGAGTGCACAATACATACAAGACGATGACAAAAATAGTTAGAAACATTGCCTAAAAGTTCAACTATGGATTTCATGCACTTATATTTGTTATTTATATGGACTGTTGCCGTTCACAAGTCTGTTCTTTGGATTCCATTCCCTTCGGAGGCGCTTGCTGGACCTGGACCCCTCTGATGATACATTTATTTTAATTTTTCCTTCGTACGTGTAACGTACTTGATGTGAGCCATAGCAGATGTTTGGCAGTTTGAAAGTGAATTGAAAATGTATAAGTTATTTTTTTTACAAATGGCTTTTATATCCATGTCAACATATAAGTGAAATACAATGTTTGTTTGAGAAACTAAACTATTGTTAAAAGTGCAATGTGAAGATGATGTGACAAAATATAATTACTTAGTAAATATAGTTGAAATCATTTATTTTTATTTGATTACCATTTTATCACTTTCATCTGACTTTCCCACTTTTTTCGGGGAAGTCAAAATTACATTAAATCCTATGTGACAACTTTCTTACATTTCACTTTCATAACCACTTACATGTAAATAGACACCTAAATTGTTAAAAGAAAGCGACTTTCTCACTTATCTTATTTTACTTGCATGCAAACAAATGCACCCATATTATGAGGAAGGATTGATTGAAAACATATATGATCAGGTAATAAGTTTAATTTACCGTTTGTAAATATTTGGATTATTTTAGCAATTTAAATCTTTTCGGAAATGGTCTATTCAATAAAAAAATGGTAAAATAAGTAGAAATAAATATAGGCTTAACATATTATTTTGTCGAAGTAATTGTCGAAGTGCTGTGTGTCAGCCTAGTCACAAACCGTTTAGGTCGTGGTGTGTAACATGTACACTTCAACAATTTAAATAGTCAATTGTGCTTTTTGGCTCGCGGTTCAACCGCGAACAATTTAAATAGTCAATTGTGCTTTTTGGCTCGCGGTTCAACCGCGAGCCAGCAACTCGCACTGCGGAGTAGGGGGGCTGGGCCCCACAGCAGGGTGGGGCCCAGACACTGTAACCCCCTTTGCGAGTTGCTAGCTCGCGGTTGGTCCGCGAGCCAAAATTTATTTTCGTTAAATAGTTGATTGATAATGACAATATTGTTTAATTTAAAAAATTTATGTTAGTTTTTATTTAATAATTTATTTGTATATTTCTATGCAATACCACCAAGATTGATGGTAGTTTTGTGAAATTAACCCTAATATTAAAATCTTTTTTACCGTCTTCCTCTACCCCTCTCCCCAAATCTTCCACCTTTATTTTTATTTATTGTGTCGCTCTCATTCTCTTCTCCATTCATGGCCTTCGGTGAGAATTATCACCGACGGATAAATTTGAGATTTAGACAGCCAGCTGCTGACGAAGCGAGCAGATCATCGATTGGGGGCCCACAACACAGCGCCAATGGCGACCTCTCTTGTTTGTACTATGGTAATATATTCAGCTTATTGTAAAAACAAAAGCAAAAATAACCAGCTAGTGTTATTTGCGTTCTTCATCAAGTGATCCCCAGTAGAGTAGTCTATCTTGGGATAAATTAGGAAATTGGATTATGTCAATTGTTTTAATGTTAATTTATTCGAGATAATGATGTAGGCAATCAATTTCTTGTATAATTGATCCTGCCAATGACATTGACAATTAAAAACTCTTATCTTTCAATCATTTGTATCTGAAATCTTTGTCGGGTTCTCCCCATATCTCACAAACCAAAGTCAATTAGTTAATCTAGAGAAATCATAAGTTGAAGTGGGAGCTTGAAGGTGGTCGCGTGAAAGTTGGAAGCTTCGTGAGGAAGCTTGAAGCTCATGATTAATGTGTGGAAAGATGAAACAGTGCATTAATCAATGCTCATGGCATTAATGGGTATAACTTAATGAAACTTATGTTTAGGTATAACTTAATGAAACTTATTTTTATGTTGCTTGTTTCTTCCTTAATATGTGTGTGCTTGTTTGTGTGCGCCATAATTCCCAACATCTTGTGATAGATTATAATATTGATCTTTCAAGCATTCATATATCTGCAGCTTAATATTAATTTAGTCATGATAGCGATGTATGACCAGCGATTTCTTGTATAATTGAGCCTGCCAATGACATCTACAATTAAAAAAATTGTATCTTTAAATCAGTTATGATTTATGCCCTCAACTAATATTTCTTTATTGCAGTTGCTGCATACCATCCACAAGCTAAAAGGGTTCTCCTTCTGGTGAAAAACAAAGGGCTTTCTCTTCTTCAGCCAAAAAAATGTCTTTCGAGCAAGCAATTGCATATCGGACAGTCAAGCCCATTACTATTTCCTACTCAGATCTCACGGTTTGCCACATCGCCCATGCCGCTACCTCATTATCCCTAACTAATACTTTCCTTTTTTTCCTCCTTAAATTTAATTTTAACTGGTGGGTTATATTGGTGCTAATCAGGACAAGGAAAGGAACTTGTCGGACAAGATCGAGGAAGCATTAGGTCCCAAGGGACTAGGGATCATTTTGATCTCAGATGTATATACTGACTTACCTTTATCATTAAAGTACTTTCTTAGATCTGCTTTATGTTAAATGGCACACAGATTATGTGTTCAAATTGTTGTTTTCATTTGTATGCTATGTCACTATGCGGCGCACACACTTTTACCATGTAGCACATTAGCAAAAATATGTGCTTGAAGAGAAATAATTGTAGGCTTACTTTCTCATGTTATATTTATATGTGTGTTCATGCATGCGTGTCCATGTCCATGTGTATAGGTTAGATAGGATCTTACCATTAGGATGTAAGCTTGGATCCTACAGTAGGGAAAATATCGTGCAACCCAATCAAGGTCAGAGGTCTGAATTTTGATGCTTCAGTCTACGATTTTCTTGACTTGCTATTTTATAAGTTGTTCAACTTATTAGATTTATCTATGTGTAAATATTGAAATTATGTTCTTCCATTTTTAGGCTATTCGACATACATGATCCAAATAAGTGGATTTTAAAAATTTATTTCTATTCGTATCCTTTTCATTTTTTGTATCCTTTTCATTTTTGACACAATTCAGGCGCAAGTAATTTCGGTAGGATCCTAGCTTAAACAAGTTCAATATAAAATTTAAGGTTAGATCATATCAATTTAAATACACGCACACATATTGTACAATTTAAACCAATATTCTATTCAGCTAACATGATTTAGATTATTAAAATGCCTGAAGTCAAAAGGCCAAGCATTTCTTATTTCTTTGTTGTCTATCAAATGGTCATAAAATGGACCATTTTCATTACAAATAATTAAGATGTATGGTCTAGAACAAATGAAACTCGTTTAAATTTGCAATCTGCAAGGTTTACACTATTTAGATCAGCAACATTTTTCTATCTGTTAAGCTTCACAGCATTGGGGCTCCCTAAATCAAACTGCAATCGTTCTTTATCAACTGACCACATAAATAAGGCCAATTAAGCAAGTTTAATGGACCGTATAGCTCCCTATTACGAATGGCTTTCATGGGGCTTCTTTTTAGGTCAATACTTTGGATTAGTAATTAACTGATAGTTTTATTTGACATGCTATTTGGCACACCATTCATCTTGTAAGAAGTTGATCCATGGGTAAATAATCTTTAAATTATATGCGTTTTAGCTATTTGCATGTCATATATCATATATAACTGCGCTAGTTCTAATTTTTGATGCTTCAAAATATGCTTTTCATATGAAAGAATTCAAACTCCTATAAACTGAATCTTAGTCAGACCTCCTCTCTCTCTCTCTCTCTATATATATATATATATATAGGTATATGTGCGTGCATGTCTATGTTTGTGTATTTTGTATGTATGTATCATTTGCAGTGTATACTTTTTGGCTAAACGCTTTATCTTTCGCTCCCGAATGAGGAGTTAATGTGTTTTCAACCACAAATTCTTGAATGGCCCACTATTATTTTGTTTCCCAATTCCCACATCTTTCATCTCTACATCATGCCTTTACAAAACAAAGATATTGAATCGTAGGAGAAATGCCACAACTAAATTCTACATTCATTGTTAAAATAAATTCACTTACATGAATTTTAATCCATAGATATTTACTTGTTGCTGATAATGATATTGGGTGTTGATCACGTGCTAGATTTCACTGAACTTAACTTCTAAATGTTCCACATGTTTAGCCTACCAAAAACACACATACACATCTTCCTCCCCACTTAAGGCCATAGCCAATTGGGCCAGTCAAAAAATCAAACAGAATAAATGTGTAGGAAAGCACAACCCCCATCCAAGGAGTGATTACCCCGGTTTTCCCAACCATAGTGGGTCACTGGGGTACTTACAATGACGAACATGTCAACTGACAGCTTCTGCAATGAAGTGTGTAAGTCGAGCTTAGATATATAGCATACATGCATGATGCATGTACATAGGATATATTGTTAAAACTTCCCCCATATTTGTAGGATCACATTTGGGTCATTGAATAGGTTAAACTATGTCCTGTATTAAGGTTTAAAGTTACTGGAATCTGAGAACCAAAAATCAAGTGCCTTGGGGCTTTACCCATTTGATCTCAAAGTGAATGGCTTTAAAGTTGTTGAAAGTTGATTATTATTCTCAATTGACTATTAGGTAAAATATTTTCAAACAAATGGATTTCCAGACGATCAGCAGCTGATATATGTCATGAATTATAAACAAAGAAGACGCTCCTGATTAGGGTGGCCTACCATAAGATTTTATGTTCTTTTATACTTTCCAGTTCACATTATATGTATTGGCCTTTCTAGAATCCTCTTTCTCACCCTATCCCACTAAACGATGATATCACCTTATTAAGAATGCTCATCTGATCAAAGATGACGACTCGGTGTTTCAGATATTTACACTGTTGTGTTTGAGTTTCACTTGCCACAATCTATTGATTGGTTTTCTCCACCACCAAGCTTATAGGATAGACAGATGATGGCTTTGCTATGTGCACTAAAATAATTTTGATTTTAGTTTAACTGGTCTCTAGTTCTATTTTGTCACTCTAGCTCAAATCTATTGCTGACATCATGTTGGTGCATTATTTTGGGAATTAAACTACTTAAGCACATTGGCTGCCTAAACCTGAGCTCCCTTAATTGAGTGAGGATCTGGAAAGGATAGATAGATGAATTCAGCTCCTAACAAGACTTCTTCTTGTTTGGGCTCAACTCTTCATCTTTCCTATCCCTGGTCCATCTCCCCCTATCAGTGTTTTAAAAAACGTCCTGGGCGGCCGCCTAGGCGGCCGCCTAGGCGCCCGCCTAGGCGGAGGCGGTGCCCAAGACGCTGGGAGCGCCTACGCGGCCGCCTAGAGTTAAGCGGGCCGCTTAAATGGCCCGCCCAAGAATTTCCGAAAAAAAGCAAATGCGGGCTGAAATAAACAAACCCAAACCCAAACCCAAATCCAAACTAAACAATAGTAACCCTAATTATCTTTCTCACTCCTGACGCCGCCACAAACTTTGCTCGCTTCCGAAGTTCTGTTCTTCGTCGAAGCTCCCCTGACCTTGTCGAAGCCCAGTCGAAGCTCCCCTGACCTTGTCGAAGCCCAGTCGAAGCTCCCCTGACCTCGTCGAAGCCCCATCGAAGTCACCTCTGTCGAAGCATCCTCTCGAAGTTCGTCTTCGATCTCATCTTCGATCTCTGAGCTCGTCTTCTATCTTCGAGCTCACCTTCGATCTCTGAGCTCCCCTGATCTTCGATCTCCGAGCTTGTCTTCGATCTCTAAGCACTAGAAGTTAGTTGAAGCTCTCCCACCTCGTCTTCGATCTCCGAGCTCCCCCGATCTCTGTAACTACTAACAATGTAAAGAGTACTTCTCAAATATTTATTTAAGTTAGTTAACAACAATAACTTAAACTTAAGAAGTGTAAGTTAACAGTAAACTTAAGTTTAAGTTTAAGTTTAAGTTAAACTTAAGTTTAAGTAATTAAGTTAACAGTAAACTTAAGTTTAAGTTAATATTAAGTTTTTTTAACACTAAACTTAAGTTTAAGTAAACTGCAAACTTAAGTTTAAGTAAACTGCAAACTTAAGTTTAAGTAAACTGTAAACTTAAGTTAACAATATTTCAGTTAATAGTAAACTTAAGTTTAAGTTTACTGTTAACTTAAACTTAAACTTGGCAGTAACTTATAAGTTAACAGTAATTTGAGTTGAGAATGAGTTTTTCACTGTTGAGATGAACTTATAATTTGAGTTGAGAAGTATAAACAAAGAGCTATTGTAATTGGTAAACTAAGCAATTTAGTTAACAGTGTTAGTATTTTAGTATTTATGCATCTTTGATTGAGTTATATATATAAGTATCACAATTAAAAAAATAAAAAAAATGTCCAGAAACCACTTAGGTGCCCGCCTAGGCGTCTAAGCGCTGGACGCCAAGTCCGACGCCTAGAAGCGCCCAGCGTTTAATGTAACATTGCCCCCTATCACCTTATTAAACTGCTTAAGTCTTCTTGATAAATTTAGCCACTTAATTTCCTCCTTTTGAATCTGTATTCATTCCTTGCATGAAGTTTTGGCTGCTCGCGGACTTAGTAACATCAATGATCATGCTTGCAACTGTGCTTAGATTCTATGTCTGGTATGACTTTGTTTTATGGAGACTTGACACATGGCATTATCAGCAAAACAAGATGCTGTAAACTTTTTTGCTTGTGAATCCAACATTCAGCTTTTATGCAGCATTGGTATAAGATGAAAATATCCATCAATTCCACTATATTTTTTTGGCATTTGGAACTAGTTATATTTAGATTTTATTCTTGAAACTCCTTATTGGAGCCCACTTCGACATCCAGCATTTTTTTGGTTTGGAATTAGTTTCATAAACCTTTTGACTATGACAGTGGATTAGCTCGAGGTTTCTGCAAGAGGGATCTGTGTTGTTTGCTTCCCAGAGATAGATATTATTCATTATTTTACTAGTGTGTATATGGAACTTATATCAGGAATTTTATGACTGAAGGTTGAGATAAGATTATGAGATGGATGCTTCTGAAGGAGCTGACATGCTGCTCCATTCTTATGCTTCTGAAGGAGCTGACATACTGTTACATTCTTCATGCTAAGGATAAAATATATGCATTATTCAGATTGGTCATATATGTTCATATTAACAACAGGAGAATGGTTTGATCACTGCGTGGACATAAAGGCAACTCTGCAGAAGGATTTATAATGATTTCATTTTCTTATGGAGGACTGCTTATGCAGAAATGAATTTACAAGGCAAAAGTTCTACCCATTAGCTTAAAGTGTATAAGTTAAGAAAAGTACAACTTCTTAAAGTTCGAAGATTTTGTTATATTCCATAATCCATATAGCATTGATCTACTTATATGTTAAAGTAATTACCTAGGAAAAGGAAAGCGAACTTATCTTTTTAAATAATATCTTTTTTGACCACTGTTAATCCATGATTATGTGTATGTTTTTCTGATATAGGTTGATAGATGTTACTGGGATATTGAATTTTTTTCCCGTCTCATTGGCTTTGCTTTCTGTCCCTTTCTTCTTTCTTTCAGGTACCTGGATATTCTTTATTACGGAAGATTCTCCTCCGGCTTTCATCCATGAAAGTGCTTTAAACTTCTTAAGTTTCATCACTAGACAGTCTGTTGTAATGCCTTGGAAAAGAGAAGTAAAGAAATTATTCATTTTTCTTCTTTCAGAGTGGCAAGCCTTCATGATGATGTAAAAGTTAGTCTTGAAGGTCAACCAAGCAGGTATGGATGAAAATCTGGTCTAACAATATGCTATTACATCTTCAAGTTAGTGAATGTCAACCATTCATGCTTACCATTATCACCAATATGTCACTACTCATCACCCTCCTTATTGTCACCTTTCTCATCTATGTGGTTGGGTTTGAAGGACAAATTTGTAATCTAAAAGGCTCTCCGGAATTTATGAGCCTCTCTTTCTGACTACAGACATCCAATTTCTTGTGCCAGTCGAGAAGTAGAAAAATTTTCCTTAGTATCCTTCAAAATTCTTCTAAGATTAAGGATCTAGAAGAAAAAGGTGGAGATTTATAGAGAATTATCACCTGACATTAAAAAGCTCTAGAAATCATTGCAGAAGTATTATGAGATTTATAGAGAATTATTGTTGTTTTGTAACAGGTCTTCAAACAAATAGTATATTTGCTACCTTGGTTAAAGTTCTGCCTTCGTGATGATAAAAAGACAGTCACAGCATCTCCATATTGAATTTGACTGTACATATATGAGACTGATTACAATGCCTGCATCTGCATGTCTGTTCATGCCGGACTGCTTTAACTTTGTAGAGAGAGTTGATTCTTTTTTTCCTCAAGTTTATGTTAGAACTTTTTGCTTTTAAGAGCTAAAAAGAAACTCGTACCAGAATTGATCCCTAAAATTGTTGTTTGCTTAAACCTTTTCTTATTGTTTACATTCAAGAGCCATCTTACTATATTTTAAATTTCCTTGTCTAAAGATTGAGAACGTAGAGATGAGTGAGTGGCGATGCTAAAAAGATTAAATAATGCATGCTTTCTAAGAACTTTAGATGTAGCTTCCATTGAGGACAAAATGAGGGAGATCAACTGAGATGGTGTGCAATGTGAGGCCAATAAGTGCACTAAGTAGAAGGTAGGATGATAATTATTGGATCTAGTAGGGCCAGAGGTGGGCCTGATAATACGGATGGAGTAATTAAAAGGATATGTGAGTTGCTATTTCAACCAAGCTTAATGGGGGGAACTATTCATGTTGTCGACCCAAAAAGTTTGAGAAGTTGTTCTTTTTGTTAGATAAAGATAAAAGTCTATCCAATCTTATTCATGTAACTTGAGTTCTTTGTTTGCCAATACTTTATTGAACTGCTTGAACTTCAAAAAAGTACAACTGAAAGTTAGAGTAGTACCTAATATTTTCTCTTGAACTCATATAACATTGCAAGATACAAGTCTCCATGTTGGATGAATGTGTATCTTTCACTATATCATGTCAATGAAGTTCTTATTAATGTCGCTACTTGTGCTAACTAGTCCACAGAGTTTGACTTTCAATCACAAGCATGCACACAGAAAGACATGTGTTTGTACATATAGAGAACAGATATATGTCTAAATTCATACGCGTCTGCAGTCTACAACATTGAAGTAGTTTCCACAACAATCAAAGAAGGTGAATAATTGTATTGGAGGATGAAACTAATAACTAGCAATAATATAGGTAGGCAATGGCATAAACAGTCTGGGGAAAAGGTTGATGGAAATAATGCTTTTGACTTTTGTTGAATTGGTGCGTTCAAAGAATGATGGCCTATATTGCACATTTATTTCAATGAAGGATATACCTACATCCGATATGTATCTGATACTTGGATTACCCCGCTACTTGCTGGTGCCAGATATTCCTTTTGACACAGATTTGGATTGTATCCTTGATGTATCAATGGCATGTCATTGGCACATCTGAGACAAATATACACAAGGTTCATGGAGTCATAATTCTTTGAGTTTCCTGATAAATTGCACTTGTATATTTTATTGTTTAATAAAAAAAAGTCTTGGTAAGGATCTGAACACTCCTTGTTAATTTAGATAACTTGAAAACTTTGATTGTACTGGAGATATTAGTCTTTTAACCTTGTCTTGTAGATAATAAACATCAAGTGTAATTTTATTGTTGATGTATCCACGGTGTATTGGTATCCTAAAGTTTATGAATTACTATATCATACTCATGTTTTATTGTATATTTATCGGTGTGTCATGTGTGCGTGCTTGTGTGACTATCAATGATATATTTCTTATGTATCCAGGCCACACCAATACTCTTAACTTTTCAAAATGCTATATCACCGTGTCTGTATCTTGTATTACCCTTGCCCTGCATCCTGCGTGCTTCACAGGTGGCAACATGATCTGAGGGTTCATATATAGGTAATAAATGTTTGTTTCTATACATTGGAAGACTCATTAAGTAGGAAAAGAGGACCTCTGGCCACTAAACTTAGGTGTAAGGTAGCACTGTCACAGAGCATGTGCACCATGTCTGTATAATTCATTTCCCAGTATTATTATATTCAAGATGTTTTGGATATTATTATTATTATATTCAAGATACTTTGCATGTCTTTAATTTTTTATTTCCCACTTTTTTTTTGAAGTTTAAATTTATATGGAAATTAAATTATATGCCAAATTTCTTTTCGGCATAATATCACAAATCAACAACATTTGTGTAATAACAAATATTAACTCCTCAAATTTCGATTTCATTATATAATGCAAGTTATGATTTTGTGTCTTTATTTTCATGATTAGTATCCAAGTTTCTTCATTTATATATGTCAGATAAAAGAATTTTAGATCTAAATATAAGTTTTTATAATAGATGTTGACGACCATTTAATTAGTATCACAACTCAAGAAAAATGAAATAAAATCCAAATATAAATTTGGAAATTATGAAAATAAAGATTTCCAACTATATAAAAATAAAAAATTCAAACTAAAATTTGTATATTTAGTAACTAATTTATTTGCATAATAATTTCAGAATTATTTAAAAAATTTAAATTAAATTTTCACAATTGTGAACAGATCTAAATTAGGTAGTTAAATGAAAGAAAGATTTAGTAGTTTAAATTGATAAATTGTATTTAGTAATATTAATTTGATAATTAATATTAGGTAGTTAAATGAAAGAAAGATTTAGTATTGTGGTATTATTCCAAAAATATTTCTAATTAAAATAATTAGAAAATTTTTTAGCACGATCTAAATAAGGTAACTAAAATAATACTGGGAAATGAATTATACAGGGCTTAACTGAAGACCTAGTGATACGGAACGGGACAGTGGGTCTATCAGAATCAACGATCTAAATCAAACAACACATTGTTTCGCCAAAATTCATGATATTCGACAGGAAATTAATTTAAAAATAATTAATGTGACAGATGGATTTAAACAAGATTTGCATCAACAATCATGAACAGGAAATTAATTTAAAAATAATTAATGTGACAGATGGATTTAAACAAGATTTGCATCAACAATCATGAACAGTTCCAATCTCAAACAATATAATCGGTGACAGATGGATTTAAACAAGATTTGCATCAACAATCATGAACAGTTCCAATCTCAAACAATATAATCGCAATATTCATTATCATTGCGCAAGCTCTACAATCAGTTAGTCTCAACTCATAATTATAATCTAAGCAGTGAATATAAGATAAGAGTTCAGAGGTGATATACTCATGCAATTAACTAACAAAATGAAATTAACAGAAAAATAATTCGGAAGATAAATGATGCATCAGAAAACTAACGGGGCAGGCGACGACATCGACTGAACGACGACGATGCGTTGATGGGGCTGCCTGTCGGGGCTGCTCGTCAAAAGAGATGATGTGGTGGAGTTGCCTGAGGATGGGAAACAGGGGGTGGAGGCGCTGTTGTTGATAGGGAGTAGGGAGGCGCTGTTGTTGAGACACGGCTGCAGGCTGGGAGGAAAAGAGCATAGTTGCTTCGTCGCTGGAGTAAGGGAGGAGGCGGTGGACTGGTAGTCGGCGGGGAGAATAAAGAAAAGTTGGGTGTGGGTTGTTGTTCGGAAGTGGGGGAAAGAACAGAGGAGGGGGCGACGCTGGTGGGCGGAGGAGAAGAGAGCCGGAGAGAGGAGTTTGGAGTCGGCGGTTGTGGGAAAGGGGAGTGGTTGGAGGGCGGCGACTTATGGAAGAGAGGCGGTTGATCGAGGAAGGAGGAGGAGGGTGGCGGCGGTTACTGGAGGAGGTG